GTCCTCCTGACTCTAGGGCCAGTACTCTATCCACTGTGCCATCTAGCTGCCCTGAGAAATGTAAATTAAAACAACTTTGAGAAATCATCTCACACCCATCAGATTGGCTAAAATGATAGAAGGGGAAAATGATAAGTGTTGGAGGGGAAATGGAAAAATTGGGACATTAATACACTATTGGTGAAACTGTGAACTAATCCAACCATTTTGGAGAGCAATCTAGAATTATGCCCAAAGAGTTTAAAAACAAGCAAACAAACAAACAAACTTGTATATACCCTTTGATCCAACAATTAGGTCTATTTTCTAAGGTGATCAGGGAAAAAGGAAAAGAACCTATATGTTCTAAAATATATGTAGCAGCTCTCTTTGTGGTGTCAAGGAACTGGAAATTGAGGAAATGCCTATCAATTGAGGAATGGCTAAACAAGTTGTGGTATATGATTGTGATGGAATACTAGTGTACTACAAGAAATGATAAGCTGGTTGATTTTAGAAAAATATGAAAAGACTTGAATGAAATAGTGAAAAATGAAGAAAAAGCAGAACCAAGAGAATGTCGTATATAGTAACAGCAATATTTTTTGAAGCATAATTGTGAACAACCAAGTTATACTGAGTACTATAAATACTCAAATCAACTATACAGAATATGAAAGAAGATGACATCCACTTCTAGAGAAAGTACTGATAAATAGAATTAGGCATAGTATGGTTTTACTTATATTTATAAATCTGGATCAAATGGTGGCCTTCTTTAGTGCAGGGTGAGGAAGGAGGGACAGAGACAGTTTGGAAGTTAAACTGTAATAAAAATTAAATTAAATTAAAAAGTCAAACAGTGATCATGGAGGTAAGAGGGAGCCACTGGAGTTTATTGAATAGAGTGACTTAGTCACATCTGCACTTTAGAAAGTTTAGTTTGACATTGAGTGTTCTACTTCATCCATCATTTCTCCTAGTTGTTCAGCGACAGGTAATCTATCCTCTCCTTGCTAATGATATTATCATTAATTCATATAACTTTTTATGGCTTGAAAAATACTATCTGCAAAAGCTATGAAGTAAGAAGGAAAATATAATTGCTAATTTTCTGATGAGGAAACTCGGGTTTAATGAGGTTAAGCAGTTTGCATTGCTAGTGAGCATTCGAACAAAGTCTGAACATGTTCTCTGACTTTAGGTTCACTGCTATTTCTTGGCCCACCTTTCCTTTACCAATATTGTAAGTTCATTGAGGGCAGGGAGGGACTATCTTCATTTTTATTTGTATTTGTATCCCCATAACTAAGTAGGTGCCTAATAAATGTTTATTGACTCAATGAAATACATACACATACACACATACATGATATATAATATGTAAAACATTTATTGATTTAATGGCTGACATTTCATTGGATCATAGATTTAGAGTTGAAAGAGGACTTAGAAGGCATCAAGACTCTTCCGACAGGTAGTAAGTAGCAGACCTAGTATTTGACTCACCTCCTCTCATTCCAAATCAGGCTTTTTCCATTGGGTCATAGTGCTTCCATAAATAAAACAAAATGAAACAAGAAAACAACATTCATATTGTTATAAGTTTTGTTAATTTTTCATTCTTTTTTCCTTCATTTCCTCTTCATTTCCAGAGGTTTTCAAGCAATGGTTGGACAGTAGCTTGTAGAAGGGATTCAGAGGAAGTAGGTCTAATCCTGGATCTGCCACTTTCTACCTTTTTGACTTTGAAAAGTCTCTTCACTTCTCCCATTCTCAATTCCTTCACCTGTCAGTGGACCAATCATTTGATGAATTAATAAGTAATTATTAATACTTCTCTGCTATATTTTAGGTGCTGTGCTAGGTGATGGGAATACATAGACAAAAAATAAAATATTCTCTGATCAATAAGCTTCCATTCTATAGGAAGAACACATGTATGCACATAAATAAATTAAAAAATATGTGCATTATAAATACAGAGTTAAAATTTACACACTTTTATTTTTGGAGAAATGATGGAAATTTTCATATGGTGAATATGAGAGTCTATTTGATTTCACATCCTCAGGAAGAGAATGTTTCCTTCACCTAACATATTTCTCAACAAATGATAGAAAATAATAAATTATCGGTTTTTCAGACCTCTTACTGAGTCAATTGGGATCCATGTGGTAGAGTAGTCAGAATGTATATAGCAAAAGGGGATCATAAAAGAATGAAAGAACATAAATCAAGAGCTGATGATCTGATAGGCACTGAGCTAAGCAATGGAAATACACATTAAAAAGTGAGATAGTGATTGATCTTAAGGAGCTTATATTCTATTAGGGAAGATTACACATATAAGGAAGTAATGACCAGAGAATGGGACTGTAGAATCACAAGTATGTTAACTTGATAGTGGTCCTTATACATACATGACCTTTTCAGAAGGGATGGTCATATTGATTTGATCACTATAAGTGTAAGAAGTGGAAAGCAGGAGCAGTGGGATAGACAGGATGCATGGTATGTAAGCAGTAGCAATAGCAGAGCAGATGGCAAAATGACCAAGGTGGATGGCTAGTTGAATGATGAAGAGCATGGTCTCATTTGGGGGAGGTTTGATATAATAGACTATTTGAGTTTGTACTTACTATTCAATCAAGACCAATTTAGTTTAGTTATATTTGTGCTTAATCCAATTGCTAGGGAAATTTTTTTTATGGTTGGCACAGTATTTGGAGAATTTAATGGGTCATGACCCTGTATGGGGGACTATGGAAGGAGAGATGTTCTGAGATCCTTTAGTCTAAGCTATCTTGGGATCTTTTTTGAGAAAGCTCAGATAGATCTTCAAGATATTCATATGAATAAAGATTATTTCCAAATCTGAATTATTTTATTATAAATATAAACAGGAAATATAAAATGTTCATTTATTAAAACTGACAGCTTATCAAAAGAAATTGTCCTAAGTACATTTCTAAAGAATGATATGCTTTGTTCAATCGCTATGTGTGTGTATGTGTGTGTCTATATTTGTGTGTATGCATACACATCCACTGTTAGTAGTGACTAACATGATCATTGTGGATGCTTTAACTTATCTATGCAAAAATTAGGACAAAAGTCCTTGACCTTTGGTGTCTAGCACCCTTTGGGCAATCTTGTGAAGCCAAAGAAACTTTTCTTAGAGTGATGTTGTTAAATACATAAAACAAAATACATAGGATTACAAAAGAAACAAAGCATAGTGAAATAATTATTAAAATATATTTTAAAAAAGCAAGTTCATGGCCCCTAAGTCCAGAACCCCTGAACTGGAGCTTTCTCAGGAGATGAATTGTTACCTTTCCCTTAGCTTGAACATCCACCTTAGAGGCATCTGTAAAACTATTAGTAATAATAGCTAATATTTATATCAAAATTATGGTTTGCAAAACACCTTACTAATATTATCTCATTTTATCCTCACAACAACACTTGTGGTGTGTGTGCTATTGTTCTCTTTATTTTCTAGGATAAGAAAACTGAGGCAGACAAGGGTAAGTGACTTTTGCAGAGTTACACAATAAATAAGTGTCTGAGGCTGGGTTTGCACACATGTCTTCCTAACTCTAATCCACTGCACCACCAAGCTGCTTCTAAGTATTTAGTAATGCCAAGAAAAGCTAAGAATTTTGTAACTCCAAGCATATTGACCTTTGTTTGGGGACTCATTATAAGGAATTCATTTGTAAAGAAAGGGCTAATTACCTAATACTAGTTTGTATATAACTTTTCTGTGTCCTTCCTAGCTAGTGTAACAGAAAATAATATCAATGTTTATTGAAAATTTTTGAAAAATAAAGCTAATTTACAAAATGAAAAAAAATCTCAGAGAGTAAGGCAGGGCAGGGAGAAGATATAAATTGTAATAATGGCCAAATTGCAATAATGCCATTTTATTACATATACAGAATGATAACTTTCACTCAGATTTTTTGAAATTTACTAGAGGACACTGAGATGAATGAAAAATCCCAAGAGACAGTTTCTGGTTAATTAATAATCAATTTATTGATTAAGCTAGTTAGTGATCAATAGATTGATGATCAGTGGTTTCTTGCAGTAACCAAAGACAAATGTTGGAGACCCTGAAAGTTTTAAATAACCCTTCTGAAAGAGAATTCCCTTGACAAGTGAAAATCAACCCTAATTGGTGGCATTTAATGAGGAGATGGGCTAAAAGACTTCAGCTCCTCTTGCTGAGACCATGTCTTGATCATGAGCTTCAGCCACTTCCAGCAATCTGTATGGGGGAAAAACTGTCAGAATTCTTTTTTGGGGGAGTCAAATTTGCAGTTGTTTCCTTTAATGAACAATTCCAAAATAGCCTTCTCAACAAATCATTTTTTTTTTCCAAATGGTTTCTGAGGGTCCCAATTTAACTAAAAAAAAAAAGTATGTTCTTATTTGAAAACATGCTTTAAGATAAACATGGAGATTAACATATCTCTAGAGCCAAAAAGTAGAATGCTTTTCCCATAGTAAATTCAGATTTGGTCATTTGCATGTCATTGGCATGTGTGTATAGCAACTTAATTGTGCATCTCTTTTGACATCCATGAACATAAGAATATAAACTAAGAGGGAAAAACACCTACAATTGCATCTAAACCCAGTATTCAGGGCCAATAATAGAGACAGGCTTTCTGTTGGATTTAAAGCACTAAGTCAAAAGGAGGAAGAAGAGGAATAAGCATTGACATAGCACTTGTTAGGTACTGGGCATTGTGCTAAGATATTTATAAATATCTCATCCTCTATATGAGGTAGCCAGGTACCCACCATTAAATTCCTCACCATTGGCTCTTTCAGATATAGTAAATCTACATGGTACTGCTTCATTTATGCATGGAAATTGTATACTAGAGTAATGAAAAAGAATGCGAAATTCCACAAAGGCTCAATAGGACTCCTTCACCCATGACTGACTATTCTGTTTAACTGGGAGGTGAAATAAGGGGTGCGAGGAGATGGCCACTTTCATTTTAAAAACAATCATGTTTTTTCTTTTGTATTTTATCCCAAAATATAAGCAGTTCATTGGGAGAAATATAATGGGATGTGATAAGTTTGTTATAGATGCAGGGATTAAATCGAACTTTATATGGATTAAATAAAGAAACTCTTGGTGGTGATGACACCCTGACTCCTATTTTCTGAAGGCAGAGACCCACATACACATCTTCTAAGTGTAATACTTTTACACTAAAAGAAACTCGGTATATCATGGTAGCCAAACTTCCAGAGAACACATATCCAGTTCCAGAGCAAAAATCTGGGTAGACCTTTCCAGGGTACATGTCAAAAGGCATATACCATTTGTTCTTGCTATTCCTTATAGGGGAATATTTTCTCATAGGAAAGCCAGTGAAATAAAGCTCTGAGGCTGATATTGTAGCTAGTAGCTTTTGGATCAGGTATTCAGTGTTAACAAACATATCGGAATCTGTTTTCATGACAAAGTGTGCATTAGGACAATAAGATGCAACCCATTTCATGCCCATCAAGACCTTAAGGGTCAGGTTATGATAAGTGTCTTGAAAGTCCTGTTGAATGATGTCCCGATACATCATGCTTTCTTTCCTTATTGCTTCAGTAGAGCCTTGCTTCTGGACACCTAGCATAAATAAACGAACCACAGAAAATCCTGGCACCAGACTTTCATTTCCCCAAGTTTTCCTGATGTTATCCCTTCTTAACTTTTCACTCTCTGTGGTACATATTAAAAACACCAAGAATGGAGCAGTCTTTTTACATTTGTCTTCCTCTGGGATTAGAAATGTGTATGGCACAGGGTCCTTGTGCATTTCCTTATTTTTTGGAGTTGTTAGGTTGACCTTTAAATGAGAAGGTGTGGGTTGTAGCCTGGGGGTTGTAATGTTGTGAAGGTGTTTTTCTCCTGGGGTTTCATAGGGTGAGGATGTTCCTTGAAATGGAATCTTCTCTGAATTGAAAATTAGTTGCTTTGTTGCTATGATTGATGTTTTAGCTTCTTGAGGTGTGAAAAGGAAATAACTTATCCCTAAGCAAATAACAGCAGTCAGAAGACATAATTTCCTAGAGGGCCAAGAACATATTAGGAATGTTTTCTCATGAGCCATGTTTCATAATTTCCAAATGTTCTTTGCCTCACTATGTTTCATCAAAGGGACAGCAGCTGGCTCTCACTTGCTATTTCTTCCTTCTTAGGGAAGATGACTGGCATTTTATGAGTTTTTGTTAATGTTTTGTAGAGAATTTTTTACCTGAGGAATAAAGCAAAACTGTGAGAAGTGGCATAATAAAGATATTAAAGAATATCACATATCAGTTTATTGTTCAATTATCCTACTGATTTAAATTTAGACAGAACATTTGTTTCCTAAAATAGTACATTACATATTATAATTATAATGAAAAAACTAAAATAGTACATTATATATTATATATTTATATGTATGCACAAACATATTTATATGTGTATATTTGTATATTTTATGTATTTATCAGTTGGATATGCTTAATATAAAATCTTAAAAAATTATTAATGATAGATCTGCTCTATTTCCCAAATAACCTGAAGATGGTTGCTAGTTGAAACACACTTTAAAATATTGTGGTAATAAGAAAAAAGTATTTATACAGAGTACATTAAGGAATGCACTTATCATAAATTATTAAATTTTCTTAACAAAAATCATGTGAGAAAGATGCTATTATTATACCTATTTTACAGATGAGGAAATAAAGTAGTAAGTGTAGACTAAGGATCTAGCTGGGGACTTAGGAAATGTGTGGGTGGATCTACCAGGAGCAAGTAATAAAACCTTGCAACCAAAGAAGTTATTAGGAGAAAATTCATATCTCTAAACACTATTATTTATGGAAAAGAGAAAGAACAACTTAAAAATCACAATACTAGTTAAATGAATACTACTTAAATGAATGAATTGGAAACACAATTAAAAACATTAGACAACCAATAAATCTAAATTAAATACCTAAATATAAATACAGAAAATTAAAGACTAAATTAACAAATTTTGAAATAAAAGTTAAATTAATGAATAAAATAGGAGCTGTTTTAGATTAAAATGACAATACAATATAGAGTAACCATAATATAATTTGATTAAAAAGAAGAAAAAAGCAAACATAAATAAGAAAAATAAAATAAGGATTTGCAACAAATAAAAAAAAGAATTAAAATATTATCAGAAACTCTTTTGCCCAACTATGTGACAAAAATCCAATAATTTAAATGAAATAAATAAATAATTTAAAATGTAAAAAATTCAAATCAATAAAACAAAAAATAGAGAATTTAATCAATTTAATTTCTGAGAAATAAATAGAACAAGTAATAAATTAACTTGAATAGAAAAAATATCTCCAGAAATAGATGGACTTACAAGTGAATCTATCAAATATTCAAAGAACAATTAATTCAATATTAAATAAATTGTTTGTAAAAACTGCTAAAGAAATAATCCTAAATTTCTGTGACATAGATATCATCTTGACAAATAAACAAGGAACAGTCAAAATAGAAAAAGCAAACTACAAACTAATATAGCTAATGAATATAAATGGCAAATAATCTAAATAAAATATTAGCAGAGAGATTGAAAACATATTAAAATTATATGCTATTACTATATTGATTTATAACAAGAATCCAGGATTAGTTTAATAATCTACATACCGAATTAACAATCCTAATACAAAATCAACAGAAAAAAATAATGATTTTATCAACAGAGGTAAAACATATTTTTAACAAAATACTTCTATTTCTCTATGGACTTTTCCTTAAAATGATAAGTAATATATATCTAAAACCAATATCTACTTTTATTTATAATGGAAATAAACTAGAATCCTTTCCAAGAAATTCAAGAATGAAATAAGTATGTCCATTTTTGCCACTTCTATTTGACGTTGACTAGAAATAGTGTCATAATAACAGAAGGGCAGAGAGAATAGTCTGTATTAATGTACAATGATAAAAGTCAAGAGCAGAAGGGGGATGAAGAATTTATCAGGACAAACCAAAGAATCAACGTGGCTTTAATTTAACAATTTAACTTTAATGCTAAGACAGTCAAGCTAAAGAATCAAGAAGCAAGCTAAAGATAATATAATCCAAGATAAACCAGAGCAATGGCTGAATATAATACTGATTCATTTATTGGATATCTCAGTGGCACATCATTTTATGGCAGGTCACGTCATTCATATTTGTTAATTCTTCCTTACAAAACAAACACTATCCAATGTGGTGACCCACATATATTTTCTAACAAATCACTGAACCAAGCATTTGAAGGGACTTCATCATTAATCTAGTCGATCAATCATTTCATCAATAAGAAATTATTAAACACTTCTTTTATTCCAGGCATTGGAATAAAGTGCTAAGCACTGGAGATACAAAGAAAATGCAAAAGCAGTTCCTGCCCTCAAGGAACTTATATTCTAAAGGGAGAGAAGGCATGCATAAAAAATAGGCTCATACAAGATACATATAGATACATGCTTAGAGAAGATGACGGGAAAGCTAGGGGCCCAAGAGAGGCTTTCTACAAAAGATAACATTTGAATGGATGCTTACAGAAGGAAATTGAGGGTTCTAAGAGGCAGAAGTGATGAAAAAGAACAGTACAGTAATGGGGAATAACCAGGGCAAAGGTAAGGAGGTAGTAGATAAAATATTATGTATGACAAAAGAAAGTGGTCCAGTATAGCTGGATGGTAGAGCATGGGAAGTAGTAGAATAGAAACTTTGAAATCATCTGACATTTTCTACTCTAAATCCAGTGATTAAGTTCTATCTTGCAATAGCTTCTTAAGGAAGTTATTTCTTGCTGACAGGAAGAATGAAAGGTTCCTAAAGGCAACAGATATAAAGCTTTAATGGGAGACAGCACCAGATCTGCAGCCATGACCAATCCAGAGCCTAGTCAGCCATTTCTGAACCATAGCAACAGATAGGGCAAAGCTAGTACTTGATCAGCTCAGTGCCTAGGAAACACATATCATAGGCACAGCTTGAGTTACATTAGGAGAAAGGGCCAAGGAAGCACTTTGAAAGCAACATATCTGGGGCTTTACAGACATTATAAAGCAATAGAGTAATAACATATTTTTATTTGTTTTGAATATCTCTGCTAATATTTTATTTAGTTTATTTGCCATTTATAGTCATTAACTATATTGGTTTCTAGTTTGCTTTTTCTATTTTGATTGTCCCTTGTTTATTTGTCACAGAATCTGTGTCACAGAATTTAGAAGGATCCATTCTTTAACATATCTGCTACCAGTAAAAATTGACATCTGATTTGAACTTGTCAGTATCACAGCAAGGGATATAAGCAGCTCCAGATTTAAAATTGTGCAAAATGGAGAAGAAAAGAAAAGAAAAGAGATCAAAGACAAAGCCTAGATTGAATAACTAGGAGATTGGAACCAAACTCAGGAATTCCTGCATGATGTAGGGTTTTATCTTAGCCAGCACATCCAAGTAGGACTTGCCCACAAAATCCAAGAATATAGAACAAGAATTTGACACATGCACAAAACCTCAATTTAGTAAGTCAGGCTGAAAATATGTGAACACAATAAAAAATTTAATAAATACTATGGTTTAAAGGAAGCACAAGAAGTAAACCCATAAGAGAATAACTCAAAAATAAGTTCAATAAGATCTTCAGAGGGAAAAAAATGACCTGGCCACAAGTATTACAAAAGTAGCAGGAGGGGATGAACTTTAAAGATGTAGAAGATTTCTAGCTACTCTTGATGAAAAGATCAGAACTGAGTAAATACTTTGAAATGCAAACACAAGAGTCAAGAGAACATAGAAAAGAAATTAGAAAAGGAATCTGAAGGGACTATATGATAGTGTTTATATTCTTTCTAATGGGGAAAAAAAACAAGTGTTCCCCCAAACTCTAATTTCTTCAAAGGTCATAGATGGCATAAATAAGACAGAAGGCCTGGGGTAAGTTTTATTATATTTTAAAGATCTTACAAAATGGGAATTTGAATGGAATATCTCAATGAAGAAAGAAGCAGGGAAGGAGTAGGAATTAACTATAATTGGCGTGCATAAGAAGACTATACAAGCATGAAAGAAGGGTGGAGGGAGCAGGCTACCTATGAACCTCGCTCTCACATAAGAATGATTTCTGCACACAGAGTTTAGTGTAGAAAAATATTAGACTAAACAAGGAAAATTATGGGTATGAGGAGAGTGTGTACTACACCCATCAATTCACCCTATCAATTTGCTTAACACTCTAGTTCTTCCACTTAACTTTTCTTATTTATTTGTGTTATCTTTTCAAATAACTTCTTGTCCTTGAGTCTACCTCTTTAGGTTCCATTCCCCAATTATCCTTGACCATCCTCCATCTTTTCATATCCTCTTTAATTGTCTCTTAGTCTTCTTCTCTTAAAATACAAAAGTAGCATCTGAATCAATATCTAGGCCTGAATGTATTCACTTTCAAATGTTCTTCAGTTTATTCAAAATTTTTACCAAATTTCTTCTCCTCAAACTTAGTCTCTCACATATCTTGCTACTCTAAACCTCTCCAAGCCAGTTACACAATTTTCTTGTCCTTCTTATTAGGCTTAAGCCCTTCTCTCTTTTCCCATTCCTTCTGCCATAATCTTTTCCATTAGAAGATAAAAGTAGAATTTTCTATTATGTCCACTCATCGATCACTTGACAAGGATGCTACATTGGTTGCATCAATCATTCAATAAATGATTTAAAATTGTGATTATACATGACTATTTTGTTGTTGTTGTTCAGTCATCCAGTCACGTCTGACTCTTTGTGACCCCATGCATCATAACATGCCAGACCCTTCTATCCTCCACTATCTTTTGAAGTCTGTCCAAATTCTTATTCATTGTTTCCATATCTATCCATCTCATCCTCTGGCATTCTCATCTTCTTCTGCCTTCACTCTTTTTTTTTTTTAAGCAATTGGGGGTAAGTGACTTGCCTAGGGTCAAATAGCTAGTAAGTATCATGTGTCTGAGACTGAATTTGAACTCAGGTCTTCCTGACCCCAGGGTTGGTGCTCTAATCCACTATACCACTTAGCTGCCCCTTCTGCCTTCAATCTTTCCCAAGACCAGGGGATTTTTC